CGCGGGATGATTGCGCGCGTCCGCCGGGCACACGTCGCCGTCACCTCCTCCTCGTCGCGGCAGCGCATCGTGGGGCGAGGCAGAGATGCAGTCGCATCGCCAGTGCCCTCGAGCTAATCCCTTTGCGGACGCCAACACGCAATCATGCCCCACCCACAAGACCGTAAGTTTACCCACGGCAGCGGTGCTCCTTCCTCTGGCGCATCGTAGACAACTCACACCCTCTTGCCCGCCACGACAAATCGCTCACACGCCTCCGGATCTTGAGCTCGCCCTCGTGCCCCGTCGCCGTTTGCGTGGCCGTGTCGAACACTTCCGCCAACTCGCCTCCGAGGCAGCAGAGAGCAAAGTGGAGCGGGCATTCATCGCGGTGCAGCGGCCGGTGGAGGGGGTAGGGGCCGGCACTCGTCCACCACCGAGGCCGCCATCCCCGGGCGCCCCAATCAAGACACGCCGCCTCACCTCCAACACTTCTCGTCCTTTGGTGCGAAGCGCCCCGTCCCAACCGCCCTTGACAACCCGCCACACCCGCCCCCACCGCAGGGTGAACGCAGCAGCCGGCAATGTTCCCTCCCTCCCTCAGCGGGCACGGCCAGCCCTCCGCAGCGGCGAGACCCGTCACGCTGGGACGCGGCGCACGAAGCTGCTCCACGTTGTCCCGCGGTGGAGGAGTTGTCCCCTGCGCCGTGCACGCCCCCCGACTGCGTTGGGGTGTGTGTGGCCCCGTTCCACCGCCGTCCGCACCGCCACTTCCCCCCCTCCCTTCAGCCGCAGGAAATCCCAAGACGTGGCTCCACTTCGCGTTGAGCACAAACTCGCACACTCCCTCTGCCGTGCGGTCAACGGCTCACTGTGGCCGCGGCGGTGCCTCCTCCGCCCTTCCGCGCCGCGCTGCGGGCTGCCGAGTGCCGCCGGCGGGCCCCGACCTCCACCGACGCCGTCCCTGCAGCGCAGCAGATGCAGGGCGCCCCCGCGGCAGCGCGAACTCCTTCCTCGCGCCTCCCAGGCATTGCTCACATGAGTTCCTTCCTTCGCAGCTGTTGTTGGCTTGCGCTGCGGCTGAGCACCCACCACCAGCCAAAGGGAGAACGAGAGAGAGAAGCACAAAAAAAAGGCACACAGACACACGACTCCACGCAGCCACATTCAGCAGGAGAGAGAAGGAGAGAGAGGGCCACCACCCGCACGCTGTGGCACACGCATACACATCACACTTCAGCAGCCCGCGCAGTGGGTGCAGTCAACCAAC